CTACACTCTTTCCCTACACGATCGCTGGCAGGCAGACCGAGAGTAGTGGGTGTATGCGTGTGGGAGGGGTGCAGCAGGGATGAGGGATGACGTAGGGCATTGCACAAGGGGCGGGGAGGGCAGCAGACACGGGGCATGGCGGGCAGAAAGCACCAAAGGCCGTGGGGCTGGTGGGCGTAAAGGGCAGGCAGGCAGGGCAGACGGCGGGGCGGAAAGGGGCGAGTGGCACGGGACGGAACGGAGCGAGCACAGAGGGAGGGGCTGAGCTCGACGGGACAGAGGGGTGGCGCAAGGGGCGAGGCGGGCACAGCACAGCGGGTGAGATTGTCCGAGGAAGGGCCGGCGGGCGGGAAACGGGCAGGGCATGCGCACGGACCGAGTGACGAGCAGGGAGGGGAGGGCAGGCACGTACCAGTGCAGGGCATTGCACGGAGGTGGCGGTGCTGTCGCGGGCGCCCCAGCGCGCACAGACCAGGTGACGTGCACGGATGGGCAAAGAGAAGAGCAGCGCCCGCAGATGGGCAGGCACGTGCGGATGGGCGGCTGGCAGGGCGGGCGCAGGCTGGCGGGCGCCCCGCAAGATATTCGAATTTCCTGGGATTTAAATTTCGGGCCCATTCCTCGCGGCCCGCGCAGCTCGGTCAGTTTTCGTCCGTTTTTCACTTTTCCACGTGACACGGATAGCCCTCGACGGGCGCTCTCGAGGGGTGTGGCGCGCGTGACGGAAAAGTGCGTCACGGTCACGGAAACAGGCGGCCAGCACCGTGGGACCATTCAGGTCGAGCGCGGGCAACGGAATAGAGCTAGGGCCCTACTGGGCCATTTATATTATTAGGAAGATCTATTTTTGGCTTTGCGTCATCATAGCATCGATAATCGCCTCGTCAGGATTGAATTTAACTCACACGGATATGCTGCATGATTGTGACTACCTGAAGATATCCTTAAGGAATCACCAATGAAAAGTTTCGAGCCTGAACGGAGTGTTGATGCGCCTGCGAAATCGATGAAGAACTTTCGAGGATGAGCACTCAAATTCAGCATATCAGATATGGCCCATCACTTTCGCGATCTACGCCGAGGATAAATGAGCGACAGGTGTCAGAAGACTTTCGGAATTTATATTACACTTTATAGCACCTTAGCTGCGTGTACCCGTCCAACGAAATAGGCCAGTCTCGCGTCGCACGCCGGTGTGTTTGCTTCATTGTGCCTGCCTCTTTCGTTTCAGACGTCGACGGAAAAATGGAAAGTGGCTGCGGAACGAACCTTGAGAGAAATGAAAATGTGCCAATGCGAAGAACGTCCACCCATAGCCAAAAGCCCGTACTGCTGGACCCAATCAATTAGAATGACGGTCGATATCAAAGGACGAGTCCCACCACCGCTCCAGCGAGGCTGTGCACGAAGGACATCTACATTCAATTGAATTCCCAGCTCGAAGTAGCAAGGTGCATTTACGCACCTGGGGCGTCTACCTCCCAAGAGGAGCAAAATTCGGCTTCCAGTCATAGGTAAGTCACAGGATATTCCGACTCCTCACTCATACAGGCAACAACTTGAAAAGAGAGTCGTCAAGGCAGACCAACTACAAGAAAGGAATGGCGCACCGCAGGACTTTGGCGTTCCGAGCCATCGTTCTCTCCGCAGAGCACGTACGTAGAACAAGGCGAGGGAAGACGTTCAAAGCTCCAACTGGTTCGGGCTCAGTTCGTCCCCCGAAGCCCTCGACCGAGAGAACCTTCAAGAATAGCCCCAACAGCACAGCACGTCCAGGATATGGGGTATACATCAACTCGAAAGCCGGAGAAAAAGAATGGCCGAGGCAGTGACGCTTTCCGTGTCCACCGTCCAGCTGTTACGGAGCTCGAGACGGCGTTTGTGGCTCGAGAAGGAGGTTTTGACCTCTCGTTGAGCTGTAAGTACGACCCAATGAGAGAGGACAAACGAGTTTAGACGTGACCAGGTTCGCGGGTTCGGGTTCAGTAACGCATGATGCAGTTCTCGCAGCATTCTCACCAGGCCAAATGTACGTGGTACGTACGTAGCCATCGAGTGCACGAAGGCTGTACCGCCAGCTTCGTACCGCAGAAGGGTCGGTTTCCGAACGAGAACGTCGTCGCAACAGCCAAGTTAACGGTTTATCTCTCTTTAGGTAAGGGACTACCGCTTCCTTGAAAAGCTCCGTTAGCGGAAGAGTGTACTTTACGCGCCTGAAAACGCCAAATACGCACCTCCTGAACCCCTCGAGTGTCCGTCCTCCGCCCGACAATCATCACCGTTATCGCCTTAGATAGTGCACCGACGACATGGTACAGAAACGGCGGGTCGGTTACATATATACCCTTCTGCGCCGCCGCTCGTAGGCGCCCTCTCAGCTGAGCTCTGGTGAGAAATTTGCGAGCGGGTCTCGATCACTTCGCAATCTGCACATTCACATTCAATCCTGAACGTCTTGAAGAGGGCTGCCTTTGAGAAGTAGCAAGTTATCGAAGTGAAGTGCACTTCGCCGATGACGATGGTAGAAAATCGAAATGAACGAGCGAGAGCGGAGCAGAGGCAGCCGGTACTTTGTCAAAAGTCAAAAGGTGATGTCGGAATATATTGGGAGCATAGCAGAGCGCAGTTGGATGAGGCAATGGTGAAGAGAGGATTATCGATCATCGTCAGGCAATGGGGTGTTTGACGTCACACTGGGCGCACGAACGCTTTTTTGCACTGCACAAAAGCATTACGAAAGCAATCAGACATTTTATCTTTCATCTCGCCATATTCCTGTTGTTCTTATTTATATCCACCGCACTATCTGCATGGTCGTCCTCGCCAGAGTGTAAGGAAGGCCAGATGGCGTTACCGGGGAATCAGACGCCGAGACGAATGATGCGACTCATGCGAGAGTGATTAGCAGTAAAATTCACAGAGCTCAGCAGGATTACTCGGAGACACTTTAACGATAACTTGTATTTCCCATTTCTCGCACTACAAAGAGTTTGGAAGTCGTCGCTCGCGATTCGTGAACCGTGGGAGAGGCTCTCGGCAAGTCTGCCGACACGCTGACACCAAACAAACACAGCGGCGATCTTATTTTCCCACGTTTCCTCTGACCTGCTTTCTTCCTCGTCGGCATATTGGTCTTCGCGTCGATACTATCACTACTCCAAGACCACTCTCCTTATGAATTGGAGCGTAGTTATTGCAGAGCGACATCAGCGGGGTCCACCAGCCTTTCGTAAGCCCATCTCACCGCTCTAGGAACAAGGCTTCGCATTGACACCGCTAATTCGTAGGCAGCAATCCGGGGACGACCAGCCTCCTGTAGAATAGACGGCGGATTAGCGCACGCTCCTCTCCGCCGCCCGTCTGGTCTGGCACACCTTGCCCTCCCCCCGGCCCTCATCGTCATCGGCCACAGTCTCCAGGAATTCAAATATTCATCCTTCATCCTCACGACCTTTGCATTTCATGACAACACTGCAGTCGTGGACCTACCTCGAGTCAGCGGGAACGGGGCGCGGAGAAGGGTGGACCGAGGGTCTGTCAGCGTGTTGATGCTCTGATCGCTGTTGGACTATGGCTAGACGACCTGGTGGCAAGAAGGGTTTGCGATGATAGAACGGTATCGGAAAGGAGACGATCTAGTAGGGTTGGCTGGTAAGTCTCTTCATCCGTCTTCTGTCGTATTCGCTAATGATGTCTTTTCCTGTCTAGTTTCTCCTTCGTTGTCTCCCTCTTCCACGGATGACTCTCAACTCCACACGCTGATCTACTTATCGTCGTAAATCCAGCTCCTGTTCCGAATTTCGTGAGCCCTTCGTTTCAACTTCGCCAGGACTGCGCATTGATCCACTTTTGTTCTGATTGGCAGGCACGAACTTCGCGATCGCCATCGTGCTCAATAACCTGGGCGGAAAGAGCGCCATTTTCACGCCTTCGCTCTGTCCAAGCCATATACCAAGCCTCCGCCGGGTCTCTACGGGCGTTGCAAGACCGGAGAAGGACAAGTTCATCATACCTCTGCTTCTTCACCCTGTTCGACGCCAAACGTCACACAGGGTGAATGTAGACCGAGGCGAATAGACCAAGACCGATACGGATGAAAGGGGCATGTGCGGAGGTGGATCCGGCGCTGGTGCTGAGGGTGGATGAGACATGGGTGCAGACGATAGGGAGGGAGAAATAGGAGGGGAAGCAGACCGTGTCATCTCGAGTAGAAGAATACTTGGTGAGTTTTCTCGACGTCTCTTTTTTCACCGATCGTCAAAGCTGATAAACTTCCCTTTAGCTATGTATCTCGAATGATATGTCTAATGCCATTTCCTTCCCGAACTATGTTTGGGTCTTAAGTGCCGCTACCCGTGTCTCCTGCCTGAGGAACGAGAATCGCCCAACACATCATGAAAATCGAAAACGAAGATCGCTCTCCAATTGACTGGAGCACAGCTGATCGCGGCCGTTCTTCCCAAGTTCTTCCTCCAACGCCTACGCGAAACTCACACCTTGGTTCTCAGCTCAACGCTAGCCTTTACTTGGTCATCAAGCCTCGACTGCGAATACAGGATTCGCCATTTGAACCGCGACTGCTGCCTGCCTACCACGGGCTGCGTCCGTCGCGCTGCATAACCTCTTCCTGGCCTCCTGTTCGTGCACAGTGTGGACGTTAGAATCCGACACGAAAATTCTGAGTGTTTGGTCGCAGTGCGAGATCGGCGTTTTCGGCTGGAGGTGTAGGTGCTACAATCGTGATAGAACCCCTTCACGTTTTGGTAAACGTAGCCTTGCTACACAATCGTACGTGATCTGTGCCTTATCCTAGTCGGCTCTCTAACGTTTCTCAGGTAGGAGGCTCTGACGTGTCAATGCTCAGGGGCCAAAACCTATTTCTTTCCCCATCCGCTCCGTGAAGGTGTTTGTTGGGCGTCGCTGCCTACACCAGGTCTCGGCTCTAGATGAAGAATATACGCCAGCATCAATATACATCCTAACAACAGCGACCAGGAACATTTTGGGCAGCAAACATGGCCGTAGTTTGATGAGTTGGGAGAGCCTGCGACGCCTCGTACGATACCTGATTTTATTTTTCTGGCCCACCACTCGTGCTTACCGTCGTATCTTCTGTAGACTCCCGGGTCTTTCCGGAGGCCTCATTGAAAGTGCAGAGCGCGTGACATGAGGGCGGTTTCACTCTGTTGCAGATGGAGACGGAGATGGAGATGCCGGTCGAGCGAGACGCGTCAGCTGGGAACGAGGCAAGAAGGAGAAACGGTGGTATGGGCGGACGGGAGGATAAGACTACCTGGTGTGTATCGTGCTCGTGCTCGTTCCTCTGCCTGGTTTCTAGTGTCCTATTTCATTTAGTATCTCGCTCTTGGAGAAACCTATCCATGTCGTTTTTCACTGATCCACTCTCTTACTTGTCTTATTCTCGAAGAAAGCCAGCTCATCCGTCTAATTCGACGATATGACAAGGAATGAAGTCGTGAGGGTGTCGATGCTCGAGGTCCAGCTGAGACCCGTACTCCTCTATTCTGAGGTATGTCGCTTTCCCTAGGCTGCGCTTTCGGGTTATCCTCATTAAAATAACCAGTGATGGCCTCTGCTGGTGTGCACGGCGAAAGGAAGAACACGTTCGCCAACGATTTGGGGTAGCCGCACAACGCCATGGGCGAATATTCCAACTTTCCCGACCCAGCTTTCCGATCGCTTATTTTCGCCCTTTCTCAAGATTCGTTCTTCGCTCTGGCCGTTATTCCAGCGGCGTCACGATTCAAACTGCACTTTCACTCCAGCAACAGGCAGTTTAAATTTCATTTATTTGGTATGTGCTCATTGGCGTTTGGCTACCGGGAAGCCCGTGTTGACGGCCTTTCAGATAAGTAAGCGTATTTTTGAGAGGAATGGGGTAAACTATTTATTGCCACAGCAGAGGCCTCCGAAATCTCGGAGGAGCCTCTTATCGTCGACCGCCAACGGATGACTCTTCATCTTCATTTTACTGAGCTCCAGGTTCATACGGCTAGAGATAAAATTATCTCGTGAATGGAATGAATCAAGAAACGTAGTTACGCACTCTAGCATGGGATTCCCCGAAGTAAGCCCCCAAACCGTGCCCGAAGGCTCTCCCCTCAACACCACCTCTCTCGCTGAGTTGAAGTCCGATGGGGTGAGCGGCATATTGATATAGGCCAACATGTTGCTATGAGCCGTATAATTCATTCGAATGAGGGCGGAAAGGGAGTCTAGATGACGAGGGTTACGGTCCATCGATTGGCGGTTGTCTTCCCAGGAGCGTCGTAACTTTTCGTGGTCGGCCACGTTCTCGAGTTCGATGGACATGAACCTGACAGTTCCCGGCATGGAGATGCTGGTGACAGAGTCGAACAATATTTCAGGGTAAATGAGAGAGTTGTAGTGCTTGTGGCTGAGTGGATGGAGGATAACCTCGACGGAGACGATGCAAGGTGACCTCGGATCTGGGAACGTCGGAGAGTTTTTGAAAAGCTCAATAGAAATCGCAATCATAAGGTAACGTAGCAGTATCTTCTCCTTTGGTATCTCAACCATCATCCTTCGAATGTAGATGCGCTGTGGTTCAGGGGGAAAACAGAGGCTCTTGTGATGAGCCCTGCACAGGAATCATGAGCGGATCGCGTGTCTAAGAGAATACCGGCTTACCAGTCCTTCTTCTGACACTGATTGTCGCGGCTCAGGAATGAGGATCTCGACTCTCAGAACGCATCCAAGCATCTCACCTCTCGACCACAGTAGCCGACGGACAAGCACTGTATGGGGGTCATGATCGGCGCCTGAGTACTAGATCCATTTGATTGGACTCACCTTCGCACATTTCTGCAGCCGCTCGTGTACCGTCTCCCTGCGAAAGCAATAACTACATAACCGAGTAGCCTCCCCTTGGAACACTTTACGGTTGGAGCTGGGATTGGACATGGATAGGAGATAAGAGTGGCGTGTGGTCACTCAACAGAAGAAACCCCATTCACGAAACGCCGCAGAACTCAAGTCTCGCACGGCAGGGACCTTGTGACGATATCATCTGACAGTCTTCTTCCGCCTGGTGGGAGTTAAAAATATACGACATGACGGTCGAGACATAGAGATAATGATTAAAGGATGTTGCCGAAGTAGAAAAGGCGGAAAAGTGGAGTGTTGAGTCGATGCTCGAGGTCGATCCTTCAAAGCGCTGATTTTCATCCGTGGACGAGCTTCGAGGGTACAACATGAGCCGGGTTGATAGCGCCTGCTTCCGCCTCATGGAACAACATTAAGAGTTTGGTGGCAGGAAAGGACGATGATAACGATTAGAAAGCAGGAGGGTCGGACAGACCGACAAACCTCCATTAGGAATTGCCGATGCCGAATTGAGAATTTGGGGTTCGCATCGACGTCGGGGAAGCGGTCGTAGATACTCCGCAGGACGCGCCCGGGGAAGTTGGAGTCCTTGAGAACGATCCCATGATCATGGGTAAGTTTCTTCTACATTTCGCGCTCCGAGGCTGTGGTATGTGCACATTGCTGATTCGGCCACCCTCTTCAGTCGCTGGCAACCCCTAGCCATACTTGCAGGTGACGGTTGGGGCCCTAATCTAAAATCTCGAGCAGCAGAAACGAAAATATCAGTCATTTACCGATTAAAGGCGTGATAATCTGCTACGGCCGCGTTGGAACCTTGTACGAAACCATGTTCAAACTCCCAGTAGCTGCGTCCATGATCAGCCGTCCTTTTGCGAGCCCAGGCCCCTTTAAAACCAATCTCAGAGATCGTCTTCGCACTAGCAGGGGTCGCTACAATGAAGCTGTAGGCGTCGTCCCATCCGCAGCAGAATCCATCGTCGAAGCGTTGGTGGTTATATTTCCCTGGAAATTGGGCCCAATATCGAGTATGATCACCTAAAGGAGCGTTTTACGGCTATTGTCGAACGACAAGAAATCGTGTCGGCCTACCTAAAGTTCGATCTCTTGCGGCATTTCTCGCGGCATGACGTTGCTCGATTTCAAAGGTTGAGGGTTCTCCTTTCCTTCCGCTAACGAAAGAGGGGAAAATTCCTGCCTCGACAGAGTCCCGAAAGCTCCAGCCTGTGTCGCCGGGGTGCTGCTTCTTGTACGTCCAGAAGAACCACCCAGCACACGTAGTTTCGAAGAGCTCCAGCTGAGCATTCACGAAAAATTTCTCCTCTCCGGGTGTTCCGCGTAACGATCCGGGATTCAGTGCGCCCGACCACTCGCCAACGACGACACCCCCGCCTGCTCTCCCTAGCTTCTCAGAGACGCGCAGGAACATCTTGGACATCTCTCCATTCGGGTCTCCAAGTGCACGAGCATGCTCTTGCGCCGAGGTGTGTATGTCGGAGGACGTAAAGCAGCGATAGAGGTGGTGGTCCAGGACCGTAAGTCCAGGAGACGACGAGTGGTGCTGGACGACGTAGTCCGTGTACGAGTCTGTGCGCCAGCACTCGCCCAAGTAAATTGGGAGCGTAGGATCGAGCTCACGAACGCTCGCAATAGCGGATGTGTACCATGACTGGAGGGCGTGGTCTGACGGCGCGGCGGGCTCGTTCAGAAGCTCTATTCCGATTATATTCGTCGGAGGCAGTTGGATAGTCTTCAGGGAAGTAACGAGCGCCCGTAGAGCATGAATAGTAACGCGTTGATTGTGAGGATCTCCAAAGAAGTTCGCGTGGTCGGAAGTACCGGCGTGAGCATCATTGTTTTGCTTCCCTGGGGCGGCATGTAGGTCTGTTGAAGGACATAAGGGGACGAAATGAAAGAGGGGAATGCAACAAACCTATTAGAACCCCAATTCCCAGTGAAGAAGCCTTATGAATGGCTTGAACAACTCTCCGCCATGCTCCCGCGTAGGTGTCGTAGAAGGGGTAAAAGTCGGTCCCATTCAAGATGGTGCGGTCTGCGCCACAGATGTGGTAGTACCCAATCTTCCGACCGAACATGATTTGTGCTTTTCCCCGTCTCCGAATAGGGAGAATACTCACTGGAATCCGCACGGCATTGATTCCTCGGTCAGCTATCCACTTCCAATCGTCGTCGCCTATCCATGTGTCCCAATGGGTTTCGAGAATGTCCTTCGCGTTCGTGCCACGCGCCACGTCGAGATCACTCTGCGCTGGAGGACGCGCACAGGAGAATGGCCGGTCACAAATCCACCGCTCGAGTACGAACCAAGATCCTGTTCTATAGTTTAATGACCTGTTTATCTGTTTGACAAAGGACTCACCGAGATTGAGCCCTCGCTGCTTTCGATATCGGTAAACATTCTTCTCGGAGATGTCGAGAGTCGTGCTTTGCCCTCCGACGAGGCTACTAGATGTCGTGTGAGGTACTACGCCATCAAATTCTTGCTTTGCGCGCTCGACGGCTCGTTTCAAAGCATCCTTCATGGTGGTGTGTGGAAAAGAGTATGCGTATTGTTCCGGTGGTGGTCATTTGACGATGACGTCAGCGCCATACGCCTACGATCTGGGACGGTACTTATGGAGAGGAGTCACGACTCACGAGAAAGGGTCGGTGTGGACGCTTGAGGTTGCCGTGGCACGATATTTATCAGGATAACGCTCCAATATTCAATCGCTCCAATATTTTCATTTGAGCTGGGAAGGAAGGATGGCGAGAATGAAAGTCGCGCATGTCCAAGGCACCTGCATCGGCAATTCCTGATTGCGTTATGGGTGCTATACGAAGGTACGTAGCACTCTGTAAATTGGGAAGCATCCCGATAGACAAGAAGATGCATTACAGCGCTATAGCGCGTTACGTAGCGCTACGTAACGCGCCATAGCACACTATAACGCTGAAATCGAGGTCATTTTGACCCTCAAAATCAGGATTTGCTGATGTGGCACAATCAAGGACTTAGCGAGCTGACGAGACTTCTCGTAGTATTCCTATTAGTAGTACACTATACAGCGCTTGATCTACGTTCTACACTGACTGTATCATCATTAGAAACGTCCCCTTCGGTTTTCGCATGATCCATCGCCTGCATCTCTGTCTGCGAAATGAATATTTGTGTCGTATGGGGGTCTCGAGACCGTGGTGCGAAGACAGGAGCCCTTGCCGTATTTATCGTCTCCTTCGTCCAAGCTCGACCCATCGCAACGCGCAGAATAATAAGCTGGGGCGAAATCCCCTGACTGC